GAACTTTTGAGGAGTGGGAGGCTCCCAAGGCCGCGAATCCCTGAAGGGCAGGCCCCCACTGTCCCCACCGTCACCCTCCCCCCTCGTCCTCCGAGGGGGGGTGGGCGGGGTGCGCGCCTCGGACCCCTGAGGGCGCCCTCCAGGGATGCGTGCCGTAGTGAGGGTTGCCCTTATAGGGGCAGTGCGCCCTGTGGGCGAGAGCACAGAGCTCACGTCCAGAGGCTGATCGGCGTTCAAACGAAATGCCCCCCCAGAGTCCGCACGGTTTTTTTTGTTCAGTATGTCTGACCACTGCCATGCACCAGGACTCCACGGGCGATTGCTTGCTTGCTTGCTCCTCCTCCTCCTCCTCCCCCTCCTCCTCTTCCTTCCCGTTCTCCTCCGGCTCCTCCTCCTCCTCCTTCTCCTCCTCCTCCTCCTCCTCCCCTCCTCCAACCCCTCCTCCATCCCTCTTCCTGATAAGTAATTCCTCCCTGCCGCACCCCCAGAGTCTATGTGATGCTACTTACGTAGTGCTAGAGCATCCCACGAACATCTGAGCCATCAGCACCACTCATGGCCTGATCCCTGGGTTCCAACCCATTTCACAATCGATGGCCGCAAATCATGGCGCAACTCATGGGCACCACCTGTTTTATCGATGAGTCAGTGGTCTCCATGCCGCAGCCCATGACCGCAACCCATGGCGCAACTCGTCGGAACAACCTGTGGCACTGCAGAGGTCAGCGGCGCACGGCTCCCACTTCCCTAGGGCCTTGGCATCGCTCGGACGTGTGCATTTTTCCTTCGGCGAGGATCACCGAGGAGCATCCTTTATCATTTGGCGAAAAAACCACGCACGAAACCGAACAAAAACACAGGGAATGGACGTCCGAGCGATGGCCAGTAGGGCCGAAGTGAGAACCCCGCAGCGCAAACTCTGTTTGAGAAACTTGTGTTTGCGAGCATCGTCCGAGATGTTGTGCGCCGCGCGCCGCGCACCATAATGCGGCAGGTGGGCATCGAGATGACAGGCTTTGGCAAGCACCGGCTTTCGAATGGAAAGTCGAAGCTGGCCTGGATATGCGCGAGACGATGTAAGCATTGAGTCCATGCTTTTCTCGGCCATCCGTCCTTGTTTTGGCAGCAGCGCTTCCATCCTGGCTCGTTCGCATGTGCGATCCATCTTCATGTTGGCTCGAGCTGCTCACGCTCAAGGCGTATGTCATCAGCGGACGCAGAGGACGCAACCCTGTCCTTGCCGGGTCCACGGTCCTCTGCCAGGGGCTGCGCCCCCAGCGATAGCGGCTCATAGCTCTGCCAGCACTTCCAAGCTGCGCGGCGTTCGTATTGTTGCCTTGTCTGATGTCGAGTGTCTGCATGGGGATTTCCTCGTCGCAGGCGGATCTGTTCACAGTGCTCGATGTGTCTGCAGTTGCCGTGATGCGTGCGTCACTGGGGATACGCGGGCGTCGTTTTGTTTGTTTGTTTGTTTGTTTGTTTTTTGTTCAAATAATCGTCAAAGACAAATCCTTCCAGTGCATCAGGGCCCGCGTTTAAGTGGTCGTTCGGTTTTAGCAAAATGTGTAGGTCACATACGATTAGCGGTCGTGGAAGACTGCATACCAAATCGGCAAAGCCAAGTTCATGGTATGTCGTCGCCACTGGCACCAACCCCCTTCACATAATCAAGGCTCGCGTGGATCAAAGCGTCAATCCGCTCACGCTCATCGGGGCGTCTTTCTGTTTTCTTCTCGAGCTGCTTGGGGGGCTCTCTACGGCGCTCTTGTTTCGTGTTTGGGGACTCCTGCGGCACCCTGAGGCCATCTTCAGAGGCTCCGTTTTCTGTTTCGCAAGGACGGCTTCTAGCGGCCCTTGGGCCGTTTTGGAGTCTCCCGGGACCGTCCTGTGCCGTCTTCTTGCCCTCTCGGGCCGTCGTGGGTTCACTCAGAGACCGGTTTTCGCTGTCTTGGTTGGTGCTCCTGTCTCGTTGGGCTCAAAGCGGTACTTGCAGCCGGCGCATATGACAGCGCACAGGAGCCACAATTGTGGTGCTTCACTGGCCGCAGGGTTTCGCCGGCGCATGCCATGAGAATTCGCCAATGTGGAGAATAGAACAGATCCGCCCGTGGCGATCTGTTTGTCGCTGCCCCGACGCGCGTTCTCGCCTACGCCGCGGACGCCAAGTAATACGACGCGAGGGAGTCGCCAACAGAAGCTACGCCCGATACAGGGGAGCATTGTCTTCGAAGTGGCGGGCATTGCCAACAGAGCCCTCAGCGGCCTCTAGCGTCGCTGGCGGCGTGACATTCGCGGTATTTCAAAGAGCCACTTCGGCGCCCCGTGTCCGTGCCCTAGTTCTGGACTCACGCATTTGAGTCGCCACTGGACCACGATGAGTGGTGGCACCAAGGGTGTGCACATAGCCCACATTCGGGCTCCACATTTGCCCCACTGGTGTACGCTGTTTTTGGAGTGAGACACGCCGTCACCATCACAGGTTTATCTAGTCGTCGCCCAGATTTTTATGATTCTCCACAGCACCGCCCGTGGCAAACACATAGAATGGACATGAGGCCAACGTTCTGAATCTTCATTTCCATTGCAGTCACTGGTGTGGAGGGGGCGATTGGTGCTGCTTCCCAATTACTTCTAGGAGCCGCACCAATCCTCCAAGACCCCCTTCACCTCCAAGAGGAGGAAGAGGATGACGATGAGAACGACATGTTTTTTCCTTCGCTGGATCTGCTGTGCCTTGTATGGGGCCCCACAACCTCCTGACAGAGTGCGGATATCGCTGTTGAGCGCTGGGCGTGGGGACCGCACCGCCAGGGGAAACCACGACCGCGACAAAGCACGGAGACGACTCGGTATGCGCACTCGCGATGTGCCAGGAATCAATGTTTTTCTCGATCTGGCCACTCTTCCGACGGGGCCCCCTCAGAACTCCCCGTGGCCTTTGTACGGCCGCCTCGGTGTGTTTTCCAATCGGGCTGCCTGAACGTAGGGCAGGGCACGATGACGACGATGAAGGGGAATAGCGATGGGGGAGGGGGAGGAGGGGCCAGGGTGGCGCCAGGCGCATTACGAGTGCGCGCAGCGCGCCTCAACACATGACGCTGGCCAGTGTCATGGGCCGCTCGCTCAACGCATTCCTTCGTCTGGGGTAAAGTAGCATATATGATCCAGAACCTGAGAACGTTCACTTGGCTCTGCGTAGGATCTTCGAAGGATCACGACACTCCTCGGGGGTTGTCTTACATTGCGAAGGCCTTACGGCCGGTGCCGCCGACCCCGAAGACGACAAGATGAAAACGAGCGGGGGGGGGGGGGTAGGAGGCGGAGGAGGAGGAGGAGGAGGAGGAGGAGGAGGAGGAGGAGGAGGAGGAGGAGGGAGGAGGAGGAGGAGGAGGAGGAGGAGGAGTGGGGGGGGGGGAGGAAGGGTGGAGGAGGCGGATGAGGGAGGAGGAGGGGGGGAGGATGAGGAGGAGGATGAGGAGGAGGAGGAGGAGGAGGAGGAGGAGGAGGAGGAGGAGGAGGAGGAGGAGGAGGAGGAGGAGGAGGGGAGGAGGAGGAGGAGGAGAGGAGGAGGAGGAGGAGGGAGGAGGAGGAGGAGGGAGGAGGAGGAGGAGGAGGAGGAGGAGGAGGAGGAGGAGGAGGAGGAGGAGGAGGAGGAGGAGGAGGAGGAGGAGGAGGAGGAGGAGGAGGAGGAGGAGGAGGAGGAGGAGGAGGAGGAGGAGGAGGAGGAGGAGGAGGAGGAGGAGGAGGAGGAGGAGGAGGAGGAGGAGGCAGAGGAGGAGCAGGAGGAGGGGGAGCAGCTGGGAGGGCGAGGAGGAGGAGGAGGAGGAGGAGGAGGAAGAGGAGGAGGAGGAGGAAGAGGAGGAGGAGGAGGAGGAGCAGGAGGAGGAGCAGGAGGAGGAGGAATAGGAGGCGTTGTGGAATTCTGGGGTCTTTTGGAAACAGCTTTTCATGGTTTCGGGGGTGGTCGAGGAGGAATCGTATCTACATCCACAGTATGCCTTCCTCGCAGCGCATTCAGCTCATCTACAGAGGGCCCCTCTGTAAAAGCCGCAAACGGGGGATGGTATTCTGACCTGGGACCCCCCCCGGGACCCACATCGGGACCCCCCCCGGGACCGTCCTCCCCCCCGTGCGGGGAAGGGATCAAAGGAAGGGGCTTCCCTTCGACTCAATGGCAACGTTGTTAATTTCGCTTTGGCTGGGTTGCTTCATTTCGCTTTGGCTGGCGCGCTTGAGGATGAGGGCCCAGGGAAAGAGGGGGGAGCGGCGACGGACTCAGAAAAGAGACGACGAGTACGTACGAGGACACCAACCACGACGAACAACTCATTCCAGACGCCGACAGGGTCGGTGGATTTGATGGCAGCAGCTATTGGGAGGCGCTGTCTGGTGCGGCTGCAAAGCACTGTCTGGTGCAAGGCTTACCTGACTGACCTGACGTGGTGTTCTGACGCTGATCTTATTTACAATGGTGAGAGGATGGGGAGGGACAAGGGACGAGGACGGGGGAAGAGAGGGGGAAGAGAAAATATCATGGACAAGGGACGAGGAGGAGGAGGGTGCGGATGATGATGAGGAGGGATGAGGGAATCTGAGGAAAGATGAGGAGGAAGACGAGGAGGGAGGGAGGATAATGATGAAAGACACGACAGAACAAGCGTGTGTAATTCTGTCGTGTCAGCGAAGCGCTCAGCCTCACGCGTGAGCGAATCCGATCACATAAAGGACTGATGACATGGGTTCAGAACGAGGGGGGAGGAGGACGAGGAGGGAGGTGTTGGACGACGAATTGTGAGGAGGAGGAAGAGGAGGAGGAGGAGGAGGAGGAGGAGGAGGAGGAGGAGAAGGAGGAGGGATGAGGAGGAGGAGCAGAAGGAGGAGGAGGAGGAGGAGGAGGAGGAGGAGGAGGAGGAGGAGGAGCACGAGGTGCAGCAGGATGACATGACATTCAGAGCTCGTGCCTTCGCCCTGCGCGCCGCGGACGGGCCTCGGAGCGGCAGGCGGTGCAGCAGGTGGAGCTCTCGCTGCTCGCGCTGGGCGAGACCGGCAAGCGACCTCCCCCTTGGGCCGCAGCCTTCGGAGGATCGGACCGGAGGACCGAAGTTCGAGGCATCTCGGGAGCCTTGAGACGGGGGTCAATGCAAACGGGGGTCAGCCAGGGCGCCAGATCCTGCAGGATCCTGCGAAGACCCCCTCTGGCTGACCTGGGTTAGCGAGCCGCTCGTGGCCGCGAGGCGGCCGCGCATATTGGCTGACCTGGGTTTGCGAAGACCTGCGTTGCAGTTTTTTTTCCTGCATTGCAGTTTTTGGTTTCCTGCTGACCGAGGTCTGGATTGACCCGGGTCAGAAGATCCCGGAGCATCGAGGGATCGAGGTGTCAATGGTGAAGTCGGGCCTGTCCCTCAAAGATCGCCACAAGATAGTATGGGGACGATCTTTGGATTATTTCTGACAGATGCGAAGTATTTTTGGGGTATATGTTCTTTTATTTTTCGTCCAAAATCCCCCTGTAGGGGGACATGCCCGACTCACGTCAAGGGTCGAATGGTCGAGGATCGAGGCATCGAGGATCGAGCCTTCGAAGGATTAGAGGGTCAGGGATCGAGGCGTCCAGGAGCACAGTTTCCGAGGACCCCTTGGTGGCCAGCGCTGCAGCTCCAGCCGGCGACGCCGCCGCTGCGGCCTCCGCTGCCCCTGCCGTCACCGCTGCCGCCGATGCCTCTGCTGCGGTTGCCGGTGCCGCAGCCGCCGCTGCCGCCGCGGCCGCCGCCGCTGCCTGCTGCTCGGAGCCCCTGGGATCTCGAGGTCGCCGTCGCCCTCCGCCCCCCGCGGGGGGCCCTGGTGCATCCGCGGGTCCCCGTGCGGGCCTCCGGAGGCTGCCCGAGGCCCGGGGCCCCGGGAGGCCAGGAGCATCCGGAGACGCCGAGGCTCCAACTGCGTGCTGCATGGCGGCCGTTCGGCTGCGTGCGTTCGGGTCTGCAGACCCTGCAGCTGCTGCTGCTGCTGCTGCTGCTGCTGCTGCTGCTCCTCCTCCTCCTCCTCCTCCTCGTCGAGCCCAACCTGTGCACTCGCGCGGCCGCCTCCACAGCGTGGTAGCCTCGTCGAACCCAAGGGCTCCAGTGATTTCTTCCTGGCAGCGCGTGCGGAGGCGCCGCCGCCCGTCGACAGAGCCCCGCCTCCTCGTGGGAGCCTCCCTCCTCTTCGCTCGGAGGGCGCCCACTGCACAGCGGCGCGCGAGTTTGGCCAGGGCCACCCCCGGGGCCTGGCATTGGCTCGGCCAGGGTCGGCGCAGGCGTGCCGTTGCCTGGCATCGCTCGGACGTGTGCATTTTTCCCTCGGCGAGGACCATCGAGGAGCATCCTTGATCCTTTCGCGAACATGCCACGCACGAAGCCGAAAAAAACACACAGGAAACGGACGTCCGAGCGATGGCCAGGTTGGCGCCCTCCGACCCGAGCCTCCGCGCTCCCCTCCGCGGCGCGAGGCTAACCGCTCCCCGCGCGGGGCGGGGCGCGGCGCGCGAAGTGGCGTGACCCAGAGCCTCGAGTCTCGAGGGACCGAGGGATCGAGGGATCGGGGGATCTCAGGAGGGAAAAAAACACACAGACACAATTATTCGTCGATTCCCAGAAAATATGGGAAAATATGGGAATTGGGCGGGAAGACAAAAACCCAGAAAATATGGGAAAGTATGGGGAATCTGTTTATTTGTGTGCATTTATTTGTGTGTCCCAGGGCCCCTTCAGGATCAGGGTTGAGTTGTGCGACGCGGAAGTACCGATAGGCCTGGCAGCACCGCTGGACCCGACCTTGACAGTTTTTAAATGGTCCAGCTTTGAAGTATGCACGACGTTTTGAAGAGAATACGATTTGCTATATGTCTTGGGGTCTGGGGTTTTCGGGCTCCCGAGGCCCTGGGAGTCAGTTTTTTTTGTTGCTCGCTCTCCGCCGGCTCTGACAGGATCATTTTTTGTGTCATAGTTTCAAACCGTTTTTTGCTTCTGTGGGGTTGGGTTTTTGGGATCCCTGCTCGCCTGCGGTGTGGACTCGCGAGGCCCTCGGAATCTGCAGCATCGAATTTTCTTCAGTTTCAGTCAGCTCAATTTTTTGTTTCGTTGAACGAATATTTGTAGACATACATACATACACCATATTTACATTAGTATATGTATATATATATATGTATATGAGAGAGAGAGAGAGAGAGAGAGAGAGAGAGAGAGAGAGAGAGAGAACGCGTTTCACGGGCGCTTGCCTTGGGAACATTCGGCGGCGCATTTCGAATCGGGGAGTGGGCCACCCCCAACACTCGGCGCCGTCGATCAAAACCAGGGGGATTCCCCTCCCCCCAAACCTCCCTCCTCCCGAACCCCCTCCCCAACCCCCCCCCCTCCCAAGGGTGGGGGGGGGTTTGAGACCCCCCCCGCCCTCGGCGCCGGCGCCGGCGGCCGCCAGCAGCGCCGACGGCGGGCCGGCGCCGGCGGCCGCCAGCAGCGCCGACGGCGGGGACGCAGTGACGATGACCAGAGGCAGCCCAGGGGGGGGGCGGTTTCAAACCCTCCCTCCCTGGCGCCAAAGGGGGGGAGGGGGTTCAAAGCGCCAGCGCTGGCGCCAGCGACGGCGGGGACGCAGCGACGATAACCACCACTACCACCACCACTACCACCACCACAACCACCGCCTCAACCCACCACCACCACCACCAACCCACCACGCACCACCACCACCACCACAGCCACTACCACCACAACCACCACCACAACTCACCATCACCGCCACAACCACAAAAACCAGCCACCACTACCACCACCACCACCACAATCAACCACGCCACCACCACCACCGCCACAGCCACCACCACTATCAGCAGCACAACCCACTACCACCAAAAAACACCACAACACCACCGCCACCACCACCATCAGCACCACCACCACCACCACCAACCCACCACAAACCACCACCACACCACCACCAAACCACCACCACCACAACCCATCACCACCATCGCCACCACAAACCATCACCACACCACCACCACACCACCACCACCAACCACACCACCACCACCGCCAGCACCACCATCAGCACCACCTCCACAAACCACCGCCACCACCACAACCCACCACCACCACCAACCCACCACAAACCGCCACCACACCACCACCACACACCACCACCCACCACCACCACCACCACCATCACCACCACCACCACCACACCACCACCACCACACCACACCACACGCCACCACCAACCACACCACCACCACCACCACCACCACCACCACCACCACCACCACCACCACCACCACCACCACCACACCACCACCACCCACCACCACCACCACACCACCCCACCACCTCCACACCACCACCACCACCACCACCACTACAACAAACCACCACACCACCACCCCCACAACCACCACCGCCACCACCACCACCGCCACCACTACCACCACAACCCACTACCACCACCACCACCGTCGTCCTCGTCGACGCTCCCCGCCGCCGCCGCCTGCCGCCGCAGGCGCCGGCTCCGGCCCAGAAATGGAAATCGTCGTCCCCGCCGCCGCCAGCCGAGGAGAGGGACAGAGGAGAAGTAGGATGGGGAAGGGGGGGGGTCCCGTTCCCCCCCCCCTTCAAGCGACCACAGAACGCGCTCTTTCATGTGTATTTATGTATGTATGTATGTATGTATGTATGTATATATATATATATATATATATATTTATATATATGTATATAGATATATGTGAAAGTCTGGGACTTGCGGGATTCCTGCTCTCCAGGGGATTGGACTTCCGAGGCCCTTGGGCTTCTTTTTTTGTTGTTGCAATTTTGCTGGCTCCGTTTTTCCGGCTTAGAACAATGGCTACATTCTGGGGTGTCTGTGGCATTCGAGCCCGTTTCTTTATTGCTTGGGGCATGACGGGCGTCATGGCCCCCGCTCCCCCCCCCCCCTATGACGTAACGCTCCCCCCCCAGTGCGCTCCGGGCACTGCCGCCGTGCGCATTGGGATCCGCGTAGGTGTCCGCGTAGGAATCCGCAAAGGTGTCTGGTCCGCAGGCGTCGTCGTCGTCGTCGTCGTCGTCGTCGTCGTCGTCGTCGTCGTCGTCGTCGTCGTCGTCTCGTCGCTCGTTTCGTCGCTCGTCGCTCATCGTCGTCGTGCGCGCGGACGCGGCTGGAGCCTGTTTTTTAGTCCGGGCCGATGACGGCAATCATCTGGGGGGGGGGGTCGATGACGTCACGTTTCGCGCCGGCGGCGTCTGGGAATGCTTAGGAATGACGGAGGACGGGTAGCACGAACATGTAGGTGGCGATATGCACCACAACGCCTGTGTACATCACAGTGCCCGCGTGCACCGCAGCGCCTGTGTACACCACACCGCCGATGTACACCACAGCAGCCGCGTGCAACACAACGTCAGTTTGTGCCACCGTGCCTGCGGGCACAGCAGCTCCTGTGTACACCACAGCGCCTCCGTACCCACATCAGCCGTGCGCAACACAGCACCAGTGTACACCACAATGCCTGCGTGCATTGCAGTGCCTGTGTACGCCACGGCGCCTGTGTGCACCACATCAGCCGTGTGCAACACAGCACCATTGTTGTGTATAGAATTTCAGAAGGGATCCTTGTGACAAAATGGAGCGCGTGTGGATTCCAGAGAAAACAATGGAAAACAAATCCTCATGGACAAAGGAGCGCCGCTGGAATCTACGAGTCCCCCCGAGTCCGCCCGCATCACCCTAACTCCCATTTGCGTCCAGGAGGCTCCAGCTAAACTGGCCGTCCGAGAACCAAGTGGACCGATTCAATCGACCATTCTGCGGTGCACGCTGAGATGCGCACGTGCGTTGTAACGCCAAGCCGCACGACAGGGGGTAAGAAGGAAGGAAAAGGAGGAAGGAGGAAGAGGAGGATGAGGAGGAGGAGGATGAGGAGGAGGAGGAGGAGGAGGAGGGAGGAGGAGGAGGTGGAGGTGGAGGAGGAGGGAGGAGGGAAAAACGTCGCATTCGATTATCAGAACTTTCCTGGCGTGG